CTGGTCCCTAAAATACACTACAAGACATTTACATGGATAATGTTTCAATATGCAAATTTAATTACATATATTGAGTTTTGAAAATCCTAATAGACACATCATGATCATGAAATTGAAATTATTGCTACTTCTCTTAAAATACATAAGGATATGTACTTTAAATTTAGACAGTAACACAAGTGCTAGATATTTTGAAATCTGTAAATAAAATTATTCCATTTTTAAAATGTTCTACAATTATTTGATATAAAAGAAGTACAATATACATGTTTGAAGGATGTTTCAAACAAAATTAAAATTGATTTCATGTAATGTTGCAATACGTAATGAAACCTGAAAGCAGTATTAATGTGTACTGTAAAAATATTTAAAGTGCCTGGTTGTAAATGCCTGTTAAAATATATTTATATAAAATAAAATATACTCCTTGTTATACAATGTTCTAATTATCATGCATCTTGTCGAGATCAGTTGGGGCAGTTAAGGATGTTAGAACCAAGAATCATTTCCTTAGGTTTTAATTTTAGCACATAATACATTCAAATGTTTGTTAACATTTATATAATTTCGTGGATAGATGCATGTATTGTACATAAAATGGCACTGCAAATATCCAAATTAATTAGTCCATTAGTCCAATTCTTCTGTGATACTATGGTTTCTAATGGCCAATTTTTTCTTTCATTCAACAGGAGCTAAGAACTACAAAATAATCAATTCTATTTTTTCATAAGACAATACAATCTCAAACAATTGCATTTTCCTATCTATACAATATGACAATAATTATGTCAGTGCAAATATAATCACTTTATAATTCTCCTATGTGTGTGTGCATGTTTCTATAAGCAATAAATTCTCTCTCATCAGATACACAGTATATTGAAAGAAATACATAAAGCTTTTTTTACATTAAAGCAAAAACATAGGCACTTAAAACCAGACACCAGTTCATCCTATGCAATATTCAAGAACAAAACAGAAAACAAACAAGAAAATAGATCAGAATTTCACACTTCAACACTAATGTTCTTTCCCCCTTCCCATGAATTTCATTTTGCAGGAAGTGTCCTCAGCCAGAACTGATAACATTCAATCACTGTATATACCCTGCAGAAGAAGAATCATGATCCCCCTAGACAATGACTTATACATATATTAGAATGTCCATCTAATAATGTTTGGTAATGGCTGTTCAATAACTTAAAAATATTGCAGAGGAAATATTTACTAGCAAAACAAATCAAAGCAACTTTCATAACACAGCAATATTACCTTGCAACACAATATTAAAAATACTTATGGTAAATAAAATTTGATAGTATTTGTTTCTTTGATTTGTTGCAAAATGCTTGCCTAAGAAATTATTATTTTAGTTAAAAAAAAAATTTAAAAAAAAAAAATCATAGCTTTTGGTGTGCAATATTTTATGTCTGTCATTACCATTTGTACTACTGTAATATATGAAGAGTATTGACAGCCAATGGAGAACACATTTATTACAATGTTTTTGTCTTTATTGATTTGTAAAGCAGAAAGAACTATTAAATATCAGAACTATAAATTTTGTCCATCAAAACCTGTTTATGAATTAAGAACTACAAGACAATGTATTTGAGAATTTCAAATTTGTCATATGTGCTCATTCTGAACGACCAAGGAGAACTTCCCATATCTATTTTTGGTCATCTTTCTTTCAGTAAAAACAAAACCATTCATTCTATTGGGATGATGAAATGAGAAACTTATGTCTCTAATGATTCATTTTGCAGTGTGATATTGCAAATATGTTAATAATTATGACAATAACAAATCATTTAATTTTTTATTCAGTATGAAAATATTAGCAGCAATGGGACATCAATGCAGTTGTTCCAGTGTCTGTACTGGCCACACTAGTAGTATAAATGTTATGATCGGGTTGTAAATAACTCCCACATCACAGACATGATAAACATGCACACAAAGCTTTTGCATTGTTCACAGATATTTTAACTGAACTATAGAATTACTATAAAATTTAATTTTCTAATTCTAGTTGATATTTTGTTGCTGTTGTTGAAGATGTTGACATTCATACATGTATCAATCTTTTACTACATTTTTTTCAAAATAGTTAAACAATTGCACAATGTAATTAATAGTTTCGTTGCTGCACTTCTTTATCGTAAGTGTAATATCATAAATCCATCATCCAAATAAAAGTAGATTTTCATGTATTTTTCCTCCTTCTGCTTGGGTACATAGAATCATACTCATTTGATCACATAGAAATTACTTAAAATTTTATAAGGAAAATTATTCAGCTCTGAATTATAGAACTTACTTTAATGCACCCATAAACTATCACACTTTAAAGAGTACATCACTCTCCAAATTCCCCCCAAAAAACTTTCTTTCACCTCATAATGGCACCTTAATGTATCCTTAATGTTCTAGACACATTGTTACACAATTCATTCATTTCAATCCATTTCTATTACATCCAATACCAAACAATCCCTGAATAAAAATATCAGTGATACTAATGGCATTACTTTAAAAATCTACCTTCTAGAGGCAACCAAGGAACACCACATGGGTTCTTTATTTATTTGTCTTCACAGATCATGTCTGAAGGTCTACAATTAATAATTATATTTAAAACAAGATAAGTATTGCTGTAAACAGAGCTCTTCATGTTTTGTGAACTTGATTCCTCAGAAAGCCAACTTACTTTGTATTTATTTTACATTTCTTACCAAGAATTTCACAAAAATAGTTTCTCCCAGAAACAATAGTTTTTTTCCAGAAACAAGTACACACCACTGCCCTAAGCTCATTATGAACCGATGTATGTTAAAATAGTGCTTTCAAATTTGGTTCAAATGTAAAATTTCATGTTTTATTTGCACTCATTGAAGGCCTTCGTTTCTTGGGATTAATTCTCAAAGAAAAAGTGAAGACATCATAGAAGATTCTAGCTACACATTATTTCACCTTCATTTTAGCACTTCACCCACACCATGGTGGCAACATATACACAAATGAATATTTACTATTAAAGGAAAGAAATAAGGATGCAATAATCATCATTTGTATAGAATCAAATAAGAACATGGAAATAAGATTTTCTTTCTCTTCATTATTTTGTCATATATTCAAGAAAGAATCTCATTAAGAAAAATGTTAACACAATTTGAAGGTTAATATAAAGAAAGATATAAAGAATTGGAAAAAGGGTAATAAAATGTTTCATTTCTTTTAGTACATACTCTTGCATGGAAACTAGTACTTGCAGTTCTCTGTTTAAGGATTAGAAATTGCAGGGTTTGCAGTACACTAACAGCAAGGTACCTTTGGAAGATCTAATACCACAATGTAAATAGAACACAGGCTCCAACAAAGTAAACAAAACTCTGAGGCTACGTGAATCAGTATATTTAAGGTCTCGTATTTTGTGCATGATAACAAAACTAATTATACTTGCAAGTTTCCATGAATTGGTACTAAACAATAATGTGTGCAATTTGTTTGAGTGTCTTTGGCATAGAGCCTACTCATTTTGGAATGCTACACTCGGCTCCTAAGATAGATATGTGCACAAAGGGGCCCCCCTGAAAATTTCAAAACAGACCCTATAGCCCTAAGAAATATTACTTTTTATTTCTGTAAATATGATCAATTCCTAATTTTTCTCCTTTTTTTTAAGGTGACCCTCACGGGAATTGATACACAACACATGGGGGTGAAGCTCTACAAACCATCTGGCAAACCAGTAAATGGTACAACATAAAGTTGATTGCATTTATTAATTGCAGAGGTGCATCCAAGATTTTTCTCTAGGGAGGACTATCAATTAAGTGTCCAGCCTACTTGATGTTTTCTAAGAAGAATAAAGAATGTTTCATTTATGATGAATACAAAATGTATTTTTATTTGTTGACTTATTGTTAATATTTATAGTATTAGCAATTTTATATTGAATGACTTTTGTTAATATGAAAAATTAGAAAGCTAGAGGCCCCCCCCCCTTGGGTGTGTTGCAGATTAATTGTATCATTGAAGTTTTAATTTCATTACCCTTGTACTATTTATTTATTTACTTACCACTTAAATGTCATGTGTAAGAAAATTGTTTAATGGAAAAGGGATCCTGAAATGCACATGCCCCACTCCCCCTGTTTTAGGCTGTGTGTGCCTGTGGCACCTAACATCTTGTGAATCAACATTTCATTCGTTTGCATTCATACTAGTTACATAAATAACTATTTTTGTTTTTGTACTGCTAAAATATCCAAGTCATTGTTCACTGGCCTGCACTATCTGTACTATCAAACACGAAGTTTGTTCCTGTATTTGAAGAAATATTGTTTTCAAACAGTATAATGGCAACAGGATTGTGGCTATTAGATTTTCACATTTGCATATGTAACTACATACCCAACTAAATGGCGTTTTTTTTAAATTTTGAAATCAGAGCTGAAACAAACTTTAAAAAATACTTCACATTTTAGAAAAAATTAGCAAATTCAATATTTATGATAAAAAATATAAATATATGTATTTTCAAAAGTAACAATGAGACAAAATGACATATTGTCGCACATTTACTCATTATATATTCTGATACATTTACTCATTGTTACCTTCAAAATTCTTTATAAATTGTATAAATAATATGCAATTTTGCTAAATTCATTGAAATAATGTGTATGTAGGCAAGAGAAGGCTTGATAAAGCAATATAGTACTAATGAATATTAGAAGAAATTGTCGAAACTGAACTGGCCAGCCAAATTATACACATAAATGAAACCTTTGTCTTATTAAACATTCACTCTAAATGATATTCAAAATAAATTCTTTCTTCAATATCTGTTGAAGTAAAGAATTATTTCATCACTGGGAAAGATGAAGGAATACAATTGAAAAATGGTTTACTTAAAAGTTTATGAAAGCAATACCAGCATCACTGAAAGATTGTTACAACATAATACCAGCATTTCTTAAAATCAATTTCATCACTTAAAATGAAATCAATATTCTGTAAAGCATTGACATGTGGATGGAAGTTTCATAAAAGAAGATTTAATTTAAAATGGAAAGGCACATTTACAAATTCTACAAACATACAAAGATCTTTACAGACAGTCACTGACACAAAATTGTTTTAATGCCAAACATATCCCAATATTTTCCATTTTAAGAAATTACTTTTTATGCTTATAATTCATAACATCACAGAAAAAATTAAATAGTTTCACATATTTCTTTGTTGCTGATACAGGGGGCAGTTTTCTGGGTTGAATTCATTCTACATATTGAATATCAAATGTTTTTTCACATATAATTTAGATACAATTATCCCACAATAAATGTGCACAATTACAAAATTCTCCTGTGCACAGCTATTCTTGCCATTTAATGAAACCTTTGACCAGTAAATATCATAGTAGTAATTACTACACCAATAACTTCACACATAACAGGTTCTCTGAGCTCACAATATTGCAAGTGTTAATTACTACCTGTGTATTAAGCAAATTGCCAAAATTATGAACACATACGGATTACAAAATTATTTAACAAGTCAGAACTCCAAACTCTATTTACCTGACCACCACATCAATTCCTAACCCAAAACTTGTCTACCTCACATCACAAAAATTTCACTTTTGTTACAACTGTTTTTAAATGTGAAACAACAATCTACACCTCTTTTGTATCCTGACTGTTGTCATCCTGAAGAGATCTGATCTGGAAGCAGTAGGAAGACTGTGATAATTGGTCACTTACGTGGTGAAAATTTTGGATTAGTTGGTCCATGAGTAAAAGATCGAAGTTCATAGGCAAGTTCTCCTCCATGAGCTGTTGCAGTGTCAAGATCAGATTTTCGAAAAATTATCATTCGAATATCAGTATGCAGGGAAATGCGACCAGAACGTGAACTAGAAAACCTAAAAACAAAACCATCTGTAAGTTTTTGATGGATAATTATTTATTTTAATAGAGAAAAACAAATTTGTATAAAAAGGTTTTCTTTACCATCATCACACCTACCACCACCATTATCACCTTTACAGTTTTTGTTGATTAGGAGGCCTCAGGGCAAGGGTAAGGGGGAAAGGAGAGTTCAATTATAAAAATGTTATTCATGTAATATGGAACTTAATCATAGGACCTCAACTTCTAAGATTGCAGTCAAATAGTTTTATGTAAATTAATATTACTTTTACTATACTGAAAATCAAACAATTTATCAAGGTTTCTTTATTTTCTCAGTGAAATATTAGTTAATTAATAAAATTAACATAACAAACATATTTAATATCATAATAATACTTTTCTTAAAATTAGATGAGTAGATTGTAAAAACAATGTTCAGTAAATATGTTACAAGTACTCTCATTTTGTCTTCTCTGCAGTATTAAATATGTATTTTGTAATAGGTACTAAAATGTATTAATAAACATACCTTTATGATTTAAAATATCAATACCCTGCTCCTTTTAATGTTACCAATAATTATTTCCTGAACTGTTTCATCCTCAGAGGCACAAATACCAATAAAAAGTGTTTCACATGATTTTTGAAATTTATCACAGCCTATCTCATCCAAATATTGGTTGTAATAAATTGAAAGGTAACAATACATTTACTGCATTATGGTTTTCTATAGAATGCTTAGTAGTAACGTACTACCACAAACATTACACACATTCAAACAAGATTCTCATTACCGCAACGGTGATTAGAGGATTAATTTCATTCACAATTGTGTATCATTTCGTTTAGTTGCTCTTAGATACCCTCATAATGCATCTGTATAGTAAAAGAGGGGTGGGGATTCTGGAGCTCACAAAAACATTGTCAAATTATAGGTATTTACAGATTAAAGGTACACAGAGAAAGTCAGAAAGGATGAGTGACAACGAAACGAATTCAACTACTGTCTTTCCTCACATATATGTGAAACGAATTTTACTCATGGGTCCCTTTGTGCCCTAGGGATGGGGCATCCTCCTGGCCTTCTCATAAAATACAATAATACTGAAGATAGAGATTTTTATTTTATTTTTTAAATTAATTAATTAATTAATTATTTTTTATTTATTTATTTACGTCAAAAACAGTTAAAAACTGTCTGTGACGTGCTATGCGAGAAGTTAAATTGAAGTTACATTTATGACCAATTGACAAGGGATTTGAGTAAAATTTTCTGACCACCAATGGGAATCCGCATCTTGTAAAGCGAAGAGTGCTAGAATGTGTACTGTGAATCGCGTGTACATTGCAACATGAGTGGCTGTCACCGTGCGAGATACGATAGACGTTTCTTCCCATTTAATCTTTCTGAACACGATTTTAAGACGAGAAAATCTTTACTACGCGTAAATATTGAATTACTACTGAAACTTGATTTAGAGGCATCATTAGATTTGCGAATTTGTTATTTATGTCGGAAAATTATTTGCATCTCCAATAGTTCAAGTACACAATACAAAAATAAGAAAACAATTAAAAATATGTGCCTCCATGAAGATTTTGGAGTCTGTGCAGAATGACATTTTTTGCGACGTCACATGGTAAAGGACCATGCGGAAGCATTGTAATGTAACTTCACCTTCTGCACCCAAGACATCATATCGACTCGTAATAAGCTTCGTAAAGTTGTCTATTTTTTGTTGCTCAACACTTTCCATAAACGAAATTTTGTTACTATTTAAACAATACAACAAATGTAATTATTCGCAAACGCTGTTTAACTTAATGTCAAGTTACAACTGCAATTGCAAGAAAACCGAGAAATCACTGAGATAAATAAAAAATAATGACATGAAAAATTGTCGCTTTTTTGTTGCTAATCATTTTCCCCAAAACAAGTTTCTTTGATATAAAATTTTGAGTTTTTTTTCAAATTTAACAGTTGTAACTTTACGGAGCTCTCGTAATACACGATTGTAATTGTGTATGTAACTCAATACAATATTATTATTATTATTATTATTATTATTATTATTATTATTATTATTATTATTATTATTATTATTATTATTATTATTATTATTATTATTATTATTATGAGGAATTATTAAAGAGACTTACCACTCGAGCCAGTTTACAGACAGGTCAAGATCCAATTATAACGTCGAAGAAAGTATCTGATTGGGCAGAATAAGTATTTCTAATATTTCGTTTAATTTTTGTTTTTTTAGATACACACAGTCATCACAAAGAACATATAAAGTCTAGGCATCAAAATTAAAAGGAAATAACTAACTTTAAAAATACATTATTTCACTCCCTTGTCACTATCTGAAGCTACAGTGAAACTATTCTCTTTCGCTACAAAGTTAAGCGAGTACGAGTGGTCCATTGCCAAATGTACCCTTGTTCGCAAAGGTTAATTGTTCAGAAAGTGACAAAAACGTTTTAAATACACATTGGCTAAGAAAACGTAACTAAACTTTTGTATTTTGTTTATTTTCAATCGTGGAATGATTCACTGAGCGGATTTACTTCATTTTCCAATTAGTTTTGTTTACAATAAAAATATTTTCTTGGACAAGTGTCACTTTGAAAATGCTTTGTGGACAAGGGCGATTTTGGAACTGATATGAATGAACAAGAGGCATTTTGTTCTTGCAACATTTTATTATAGTTAGAAAGCCGCGTTTTATTTGCATCAAGCCATTAACAATTTAAAAATCTTCCATGAAACTACTTTATTTTTCGACTTCAGAAACTAAATTTGGTTGTTGAATAGTGCAAAGGACGTTTAAGAAAATGGTGAAGGTTTCATTTTTTGTAGACATCCCCGATTTTTCGAAAACTGAAAAAAAAATTGGAGATAGAGATTTTTGTTTCAGACAAAGTCTGTTGAACAAAATTCGCTCTTTAGAAAATGTCAAGTATAATTTTTTGATGTTCGTTTTTGCGTATTTTAAAATTGAAATTTACAAAAAAAAAGTCTCAAAAACCGTTTCAAATTTGTTCTTTAAATATTCTCCACATATGTAATAAGGAACGGTAAGAAATATGACGCTGGTCTCATTGATCTTTTTTCTCGAAAATTGCAAAAAAGTTTCAAAACTACAAAATTGAAAATATATATTTTTGCCTCAAAGTCTATGATATAAAATTAGCTCTTCAAGAAAGGTCAGGTACAAGTTTTTGAAAAACGAACAATTTTTGCGTAATTTCGGCTAAATATAGACAAGTTTCACAGCAACTATAGCCACGAGAAAAACTGAATAATACGAAAAATTGTTAATTTAATTTTAATTATAATGTCCTATTGAAAATTTCTATATTAATTCTATTTTTGCTTTCTCGCACTTTTGCTTTACTTTACTCCACAATTTGTATTCTCAAAGTATTGACGTACGAGTACATTTACGTTTCGCACCAAATATTATTCGATTGGTAATGAGCAGGGTTCGGCAGTATTTAAATACTTGTAAATGAAATGCTTATTTTAAATACCTATATGAAAGGCGTATTTTAAATACATTTTGTATTTGAAAAACTGAATTTTGGAGTTTTTTGGAAGCATATTGTAGAGATGTACTTAAATTCATAAAGTAATGTATTTAATAAAAGAAGTTCATAAAATACTTCAAATACAGACGAATAATAATAATAATAATAATAATAATAATAATAATAATAATAATAATAATAATAATAATGAAAAAGTGTGTATTCGTTTTAACACTACTATTTTCCTTTGTAGGTTTTATAATACATTCGGCAACTAGGGGTTTATTGTCTGATGAATTGTTTGTAAAATCAGTCGTTTTAAAAGGAAATTCCATTTGTTTGTGTTGGGTAAATTTTTAATTATTAGCAATTTGTATTTCATATATCACAAATAGGTTTTAAATAATTTCTATGTAATTCGAACCCGCCTTCGTCTCAATGATACCAGTTGTAATGTTGGTATTTCGTCAATAAGATGCCATTCCCCCTAGATTATGAAAGAATCCGCAAAAAATGTTTGTACTTTTTGTTTTTAATTTGCAATATAAATTTAACAATCATTTTTTTATAAATTACTATATTTATCTAATATATTAATCGCGTCGAATTCAATTAGCTAATCGTGGTGTTCTAGAGTTTTGCAATTAGAAAACCGTATAACTGCGCAGGTTCGCCATATTTGAAATTTGTCCTGTGCATTGCTGTACCTAGTGATGCACATCAGCTATTCGTTCACATCTCGCCTCTAAGAATGGAAAGTAGGTACCTTGTGAATAAGTGTGAATGTCTACATTATACATCCATATTTACAATGACTTCCATGTGTTCTTTATTACATATTTTCGCGAGAATGCTCTTAACTTGAAAATGTTTGTGATTTTGTGCAGAGTTCAATTACGGTGGGTCGAAGTCGGATATTTTTGTGTATTTCTCTCAAACGAAAAGTGAATTAGACCATGCCAATGCTAAAATAGCAAACGTAATATTTTGGATAGTCTTCTGATAAGATTGTTTTCGCTAGAATCGATTTTCGTCCTGTAACTTTATTCGTGCGCAGGAACTGTTTAGTACCAGTCTAAAATGAAGATTACCTATAAATAAATGTTAATTGTTTGCAAAGTACATTTTATTTCATACATTTGTAGTTTTAAGCGCATTCATTGACTTTTTCAAGAGCAAGTTTGCATGCATATTTTTTTCTTAATGGAACATTTTGATCACAAATATATCTTCAAATAAGGTGATGTACATTTTTTTTAATAATGAGTTTTTTTTTTTGTGAAATTTAGCGATAAAATCCTGCGAATTTATTGCGTTGTAATTTGTGTAATACTCCCTATTTGTTCGTTTCTAACATTCGACCAATTGTTATAGGTGGGCCTCTCCTGTTGTATTGGAAAAGAAGAAAGACGGGTCGACTCTGTTCTGTCGTGTCGATTTCCGATAGCTCAACAATGTAATGAAGAAGGATAATTATGCATTGCCCCGAATTGATGTCAAGTTGGATACGCTTTCTGGGGCCTACATCTTCCCAACACTTTACCTTAAAAGTGGACACTGCCAAGTAGAATTAGATCTCAGAGTTCCAAAAAAATACTGCATTTACCATCGGATCAGATTTGTGGCACTTGACAGTAACGCCTTTCGGTCTGTGTAGTACTCCAGGTAGATTCGGAAGATTGATGGAAACCGTCTGCTGAGAGGTCTGTCGAGGGAGACATGTCTTGTCTACCTTGATGATATCATTGTTGTCGGAAAATCTTGCGAGGATCCATCAAAAACTTAGAGCAGGTGTTCAAGAGTTGGAAGGAGCGAACTTGAAACAGCCCGAAAAGGTGCAATTTTTTTTCGCAAGAAGGTGAAATACCTTTGACATGTATCTGGCACGGGAGTAGAACCTGATCCAGAAAAGGTTAAAGCTGTAAAGGAATTGCCAGTAACATGATAAACGTGAATTGAGAAGTTTGCTGGATCTATGCAAGGACCCCCCCCCCCCACAATAACTGGCCGGTAAAATACTCTCTTCCCAACCGTTCAGACAAACTTTACAGTCTTCGATCCGGGGGAGGGGCACGTTCAGCAATCGCTAGTCAGAAACTTCGTGTCTATGTGATTGGCGCAAACTACCTTGGGACGGGAAAGGCGCTTTTCCCGGGGGCAGGGGCCTCAATTGCTTACGTATGAGGCGGAAATCTCGTCAACTTTCCCTGCCGAAGGAAAGATTTTGCCTGCGCGTGCGTCATAATGAAAAAAATATTTTTGAGCGGGGCTTTTCCGTTCAGAATTACTGTCAATAGACCAGTAAATATTCAGCATTTTAGCAACAACTATACTATCTTTTAGCAATTAATTTGTAACTGTCAAACTGTTATAATAAAATGTTCATCACAGGCACAATTTATGAAACAACAACAAAGGGAGGGAAAACTCCCAAAGAACCGGCGTCTTACCGGCCGCTGTGAATGCTCGATACCGTGGGTAAGATTTTCGAGCATATCATTAGCGCAAGGTTGGGAGATGCAGTAGATAAAGGAGGTGGACTCACAGAGAACCCGTATGGGTTTCGCGAGGCTCGTTCAGCAATCGATGCCGTTAAGCTTATCGTTGCCACTGCCCGTCAGGCCATTAGATGGAGCAGGTGGAGTCCAAAAACTAACGTGCAATCGTAGCATTGGACAATCAAGAATGCTTCCAAGTTGGCATGACGGAGTGACATTCATAAGGCACTCCATCAAATCAATGTACCTACGTATCTAAGAAAAATAGTGATTGAATATCTGAATCGACGAGTTGTTGTGCACAATACGGATGATGGACAAAAGGTACACATCACCGCCGGCGTCCCACAAGGTTCGGTGCTGGGTCCTCTGCTGTGGATTATCATGTATGATGAGATTCTTAGGTTCCCACTCTGAAATGGAACCAAGATCATAGGCTACGCAGATGATATTTCCATCGTCGTTCCCCATAGATCCCCATAGATATAATGGCCCGTGAACTTCACAGGCGTTACGACAAAAGAGACGGGAAGCATAATGGCCCGGAACAATTAGCAGGATAGCAACAGCGATGAGACACGTCCTCCAAAGTCGAAAGCACGGCGGGATACATTTTTACCTCATGGAGTTTCTAACGGGGCATGGTTGCTTCAAAGCCTACCTCCACAAGTTCAAACTGGACAATTCCCCTCATTGTCCTGTGTGCGAACCTGATGTCGAGGACGCAAAACACGTGTTTTTTCAGAGCCCACGTTTCGGACCTCAACGACGAGTCACTGCTGAGATATTCGGAATAGGGCAGATGACTCCAGAAAACTTAAGTTTCATGTATGCATGATTCTGAAAGCAATGGGAGGTCGGTGCGTAAATCTGCACAAAACTTATTGCTGAAATTGCGGCGTTTAGAGAAATGAAGGATGGATATCTCTGATCCCTCACTCGACTAACTTCATGTGACTGGATCACTATTCCACTTTCCGCGATGTAATGTCTGCAGGTGAGTCTGCGGAGAGGATGGAGGAGAAGCGAGGTTTATATTAACACTTATTTAGCCAAGAACAGAAAAAACTGTATGTGACGTATGGGGGAGAAGATCTGAAATACAAACAAGGTATTAAAAAGCAAATTTGTGAATTGTTCAAATTTTGTTGCGATTAACAACAGCTATGAATAATACGCAAGATTGCCGTGGCCTTTTCACCGGAACAGAAGTACGTATTACGCTAGTAAAATTCTGTCTGTCAAACAATTTAAAAATTACACCAAACGCTTTCTAAGGGTACCTGTGACTCATAAGGATACTTCTTTTCATTTGCTTTTTCAGCAGTCCACAATTACAAACAGAAAATAAATAGAAATAGAAAGATACAAACTAACAAAGAGCATACCTGAGATGTATGAGGTAGCGAAGGTGTTTCTGAAGTGCTTGGCAGTTAATTGATGCCTCTGTATCACAACCTTCAGAACCACCAGCAGGCAAATACAGTGTTCGCTGACGCAAGAAAGTTGTAGCCTGTGGTGGCATATCTGTCAGATCATACTGTACCACAAACATTTTGACAACTGTACCAAGAGGATTCAACAGTGTCACCTGGATTGTACCAGACCGTGGTACAGTGTAACCTTTCTTTCCAAGGTTGATATGTCCCTATAAAAACATTTATCTTTTAATTTGCAAATAAATATATTAAACCATTCGACAGAAATAAATTTAACAATATATTACAAATAAATAAAAGTAAGAGGAAAAATACAACTTTGGCTGAACTTCAACTTGGGTAGAAATATATTTTAAATAATATTTACATTATTCGCAAATTGTATTGAAATTTAAATTAAATTTACTTATTATTAATAAGGGCACCACCTTCGAGATTTATTGCCTGTCTGGAGTAGTTTCAAATAAAATTTCCCCTAACATAAAAAGTATATATACCATTTCATAAGAATTAAAGTTCTTATGAAAAAAAAATGCTATGTTAAATACAGTAACCTAAGTTCCTTTTTCATGGCTTTGTCTAAAGTGAAAACTCTTTGTCATGATGGTGAACAGGAAGACAAGAAAGAATGGATTCCATTTGTTATTGAAAGACACCATATAACAGGAAACTGAAATATCCTGACAGGAACGAAATTTAGATACATGTATCAAAAAATTAAAAGGAAAATAGAAAGAATATTCAGCAGATGACAAGCAAAATACAAGCAACAAGAAGATATTAAAGAGTTTAAAACCAAAAAAAAAAAAAAAAATACTTGCATCCCTAAAGGCATATTTGTATTTGCTTTAACACCTGGGCACACAATGTGTCACCAAAATTCCAGAAGCAGCCATTGAAACCACAAGTTTAAAAGAATTCAAACAAATTTGCTTACACTATATAGATACTGGCAAACTATATCTACTGATGCCCTACATGTCTTTCTTTTGTAGTACTATTCCTGCTGACATTAATTAGGAAATGATACTAATGATATACATTTAAATGATAATATAATTTTAAACTCTAAAAGAAACAAATAAACTGTATCAATAAACAAGAGTGAAGAGACCTCCATCCTAGGGCATCATTCACACTGCACACACAGCCTGGTTCTGTTCTTTCTGGGTACTGGGTTACATAATATCTGGTCTTGACAATTTAAATAACAGTGTGTATTGATTTGGGTTGGCCAAAATAGTAATGGTAACTGTGGGTAACATGAGAATGCAATACACCTACTTTATGAGGCATTTTATATTTGGAGAAGGGACCCATAAATTATAGCAGCAACAGAGGACAATTATTATCTTAAAAAAATCCATAACAAAAAAAAAGATATAAAAGAAACTCTAGGCAACTTATTGGTGTAATGTTACCATTGCTCAATTTATTACTTGTAGTACGTATGTTGTATGTTGTATATATATATAATACTATATAATACTATTATGGACAAATGTAATAATGCTTCCAAGCTGAATGAAAAATAAGTATTATTATTGGTATTACTACAAGTAGTAGTAGTAGTACAAGTAGCGTAAGTTTATTAGTATTCAAAAGTTGGTTAAATGTAAGTTGGAACAGCCTGTGTAGCAGTGTTGCTAATATTGAAAATTAACATGAAATAATGATCCATATTGAAAACTGAATCGCAAACACGAATTTTATCCAAGGTAGATTTCATGTAGAACAGGTTTTGGACATTTATTTAGGGTGAAAATTACTGAAATTATGTTGGATTCGAGAAAAAGAAAGAATACAACAAAGACTAGCTGAGCAGTTGTTCTCAATTGATTATCTCTACTTAGGTTTCAAAATGAATTTATATTAATATGGTGTTAATTCAATAATCAAATTAATAATTCTGTTTCTATGAGGATGAAATGTTTTTAGTTCACATAATAAGTAAGATTATACTTACCAGGTAGGGTGTAGACACTTTGTCATTATCTCCAAGAGTATAAAAGAAAACTGTCACAGGGAGAAGTAAATGACGTGGACAAAATGCTCCACTAGCCCCCAAGTCAGCTGTAAATCCTTGTACAGTTGATACTGGCTCAAGACGACCATTCAAGACTGATTCTTCAAAGCTTCCTGTAATACAAAAGGCTACTCATTTTCATTTCTCCACAGCATAGAAAAAGTATCACAACAATTTGAGATAATATATAATAACCAGGGATCAGATTCTGATGACTTAAAATTCTTTGAAAATGACTTAAAAATATAAAAGAAGGAAGAGGAAAGGACTTAAAAATACTTAAAATAAAGGGAAAATCACCTAATTTGTCAAAATGTACTCAATTTTTTTAAAATTTATTCAATGAATTTTACAATTTTAAATAAAATTTATTTTTATAGAATTATATTTAATATACTTTCTTTGCTCCATCTTCTAACCATCAGTTTTGAATGGGGGAGGAAGTTACCGAAGATCCGCATAATTTTGAGAGTTTGAAAAACAGAGCAGTTGTAGTGAATTTGATCAAGAACTAATGATACAATAAAACTTTGTTTTGGTGTGTTATTGTATATTTATGAACCATCACTAACAAAAGACAGGAAAAGGGAACAAAATGTATAAAAATAACAAAAATGACGGCAAATGTCCAAAAAAAACCTAAAAATTGAAAACTGGCCAACAATGACAAATACTCAACAACTATACTCTTTTTTATCACCTATATGCCGTGAGGTATTTATTTACAAGTTAGCTATGTCTAGAGTAGATGAATGGAAAAATGACAGGTCATCAGAATCCGAGTCCTGATAATAATACAGGAAATGAAAATATAGTATTCTTTGAACATAAGTTTCATTAGTTCAGTGGTTAATAGTATATAGTGAAGGAGACAGGAGATAGGAGAAACTGGGAGGAATAGGAATCCCAGAGGATCATACAGAAGATGCAATTAGTGCTCAACAGTGCGGTCGTTTGTGTTGGTATTTTAAACTCTCATTAAGGACTAAGGTGTTCAGATGTTACTCCATGTCTCTGGTATGGCCCTTACAGTTTCAAGTTCTAGTGGGTCACATTGATCCTCAGTTTTCTGAGCATTTTCAATTACAATATTTTGATTTTTTTTCGATCTCTGTCTGAAACAGAGTAGCATCTGTTGGGACAGCCATGTCCAACATCCATGCCCCCTCTTCAACGACTATGAGATCTGGTAAGTTATTATCCAACCTATTGTCTGTCGGTTCTTCAATTCCCAGAGTTCTTCAATTTAGCGTTTTTAGCGACGTTGTCCGGATTGTGCTTCGCCATTGATCAGTTTCCTGAAAGTAATAATACTGCACATATTCCACTGTATTCCACTGTGACCACTGTGATGGCATTCTTTGTAATCAGTTTACGCAATCTTGATACAATTACTGGTTGAGAGAATGGCTGTTTCTTTTTGTTCTGTGCGGTCTGCACTTGTCGCGATTGAGAGTCTTGCATATCTTGATTTGAATTTCTCTAGTTCTTAGAGCTTGTTCTTGAGATGCTAGGACAGATATTCGAACTTTTTAATGGAGCCATCCTGCAGTCATTCCCAAGTGAGAGAGACGTTTACCTTCATTGGATGGTCGGGGAGACTGGCCGTGGAGTAGCTTGCTGTATAACGTTGTTCAGCAGTTCAGCGTATCTGCTGTTTCCTCATTCTAGTAATTAATTAAGCACCCCTCGGATGTAGGATACCATACTAACAGACGAGTCACGTTTCAGTTGTATTACGAGTCAAGGGTCACGTTAGGGACCAGACGAGCCAAGGTACAATTCAAATTTCCCGCGTACAATAAAGTGTCTATACTTTTCTAGAAATGTGTTTCTGGTTCCTCATTATTCTTTCAATGCGGGCTTTTTTGTTTGAACCTGCAGAAGAGATAAGAGACTACCAACATCACTGCGCGGGTGGGGAGCGTGATGAGTTCTCATTAGCTTTCTGGATTCATGGTACATCCAGATGATTGATGTTGGACGATGTATCCAGTTTCATTTGAGTCGACTCTATAATTCTAGCAGTACATTTGATATCACGTTTTGAACGGTTGTTGACTGGCTGGGGGGGATTTCAGTTGTTGAGCTTAGTTCTGAGAAGCTTACGCACACGAATTTTATGTAATGACGCGGATATATCATTTTGTTTACAACGGGTATTAGATATCTGCTAAAGGTCTAGATACTTGTAAGTCTCCTCTGTGCTTTTTATGGCACGCTTCTGTTCGACATTCGAGATATTGATGATTGAACCTCGACGGGTACTGAGGATACTGATAGTGACGCACTTATCTACACCGAACTCTATTGAGATGCCATTATTAAATATTTACTGCGCTTAGGAGCCACAGTAGCTCAGTCTACTCTTCAAGTACCACTTGGAGATCATCCATATACGAGGGTTGGGGCATAAGTCAAGCAACTATGATTTTTTGTGAGAAAACGAGCACGGGTGGAAAATGTGAAATATACACATGAAACGGCAAGGTATGAACTAAGTGCATGGGCATTTAACGACGCAATAAAATTGGGTTTCTCTTATTTATTAAGGGGGTATTTGAAATGAAAGTACTGGTTTCATGTTCCAAAGCATTATAGCATATTCGAGTTCACAACATTCCAGAAGCATTACATATCTGTTCTACGGATAAATGCCCGATTAGGCAGATGCTCGATTATCGCACGTGCAACATCCGTCCGCACACACAGGTCGCCACGTGCGTTGCTGATCACTGGTTGCTACGCGACCTCGCAGTAACTCCCCTGCCCATCTCGCCACTGGCCGGTATGGAAGGGTATTATTCTAAACAGCTATCATGAAGAATGAGAGCAGCTCGAAATGGGTTACATTCATCTCGCGCAGCAGTAGTCAGATAACTGATTTGACATTGCTCTCGGTGATAATAGAGACATAGCTATTTGTTGTTGTGAACGCACATTAGAACAGCATTTCCTTCACGCGACAAATAAAATTGTGTTATCCGGTAACATTTCTTTTAGGAAAAAAATAGTTGCCCTGACTTCTGCTCCAAACCTTCCAGGAAATTCCAGGAACTCTTTTATTATAATAATTAAATTAATAAATAATAATAATAATAATAAAAATTTAGATTTCATCAATAAGCTCTTTTCTTAATACTTGAAATATGATAATATAGGACCTTTGAGGACATGTCAAGAAGACACCAGGTTATTCACAAATGTTTATGCTGTTGCTACGTTTCGTGGGCTAAATGCTCCATCTCACGAGGCTCTAAAATCAACTTAGAAATATCAATTAATATATATGGGAAAGACATATCAAAAGTTCCAAAATATATGACACTACGCGTGGTGATAATTCATACCATGAAATAATTCAAAAACACTCCTGAATTTTTTAAAACTACATTATATAGTATTCACTGTTAATACGTACCTGATCTACAAAGGATCGACTCTGCATTTAATCCGTTTGTGGTAAGAGATTAAATCCTAGATTAAAGCCAATCCTAGATTAAAGCTAATCCTAGGTTAAAGCCAATCCTAGATTAAAAGTCATTAAGTCCATCAAGTATCAATTGTCATCAAGTGCACCTGCTCCTATTTCTTATCAGCTTAGAAATTGATAGCATCCATATCTGTATTCTAATTTTCTTCTGAGCTTTGGAAACGGGGAAGCATGTGCACGTTACAGTCACCCCCTCTATGAATTGTCTCGGCACAGTACAACGAAACAACACAACTTTTCAATGATCGATTACTTCTCAACTGAACACTGTGATTGGTCTAGCACTTGAACAAAGGGCAGCTATTCTGGGGGAAGTAGGCGAAATGGCACTTCACCAATTATTTATATAAGAATTATATTTTTTTTAAATGTATTAACCTTATCACGTACTACAAAAATGTTGGTTTTTAATAGACACATTACTGCATATTCGAATGACACGCGCCTGAGCACTGAAACAAACGACGGCGCCAGATGAGTGGGCCACTAACCACGCCGGTCCTTGAAGTGAAGAAGGCCGCCCTCTCACACCTCTCAACCTCCAGGATGCGGACTGCCTCGGTGGATGCTATAACAACCGTGACGTCACCAGTGACAGTACTGAGGACTCCACGCCGCTGCTGTCGTGCTGGTAGAGTGCAGGCGAAATAAATACGATTCTTCTTCCAGTATGAAATTCGTTCGTATCGCACTTCTTTAATATGGTGAGGTGTTTAAAATATTAAACCTACATATGATAACCTCATTTTCACATTGGAAAGACTTATATGTGAAGACGTTTTGTGGGGCTCTAACGAATCTCTCTAAACATCTGGTAGAAAAGAAGTTAAACATTCAGAAAAATACTACAACCTAAGTTTCAAACCGTTATGCTTTAAGGATTTCCCATGGTCCCGAGGAATTTCTCCTCACTAACTCTCCAGACATTGTTTTGTTGGAAATGCATGACAAAAGCAACGTTTGGAATAGAGAGGATTTGCGGCTCTGTTGGATGTAACACCATCATTGTACAACCCCATCCCGCAGATCGGCAGAGCAAATAAAAATGCCAGGTTCATTTAAAAACATTTGAAAGAAACCGAAATACAATTTAAGAGGTCTTGATGGAAATGCTGGGCTGTAAACTATGCAGTACAATGAAAATGTCCCTTTGAACAGAATTTTCCTAGTTAGATCTTCATACAGTACTCTACATAAGTAAGCACGAATTAGCATTTCACGCTGAAAAAATACTCAATAAATGGTGAGAATTTTATTGACTGTTGACATGGCTGGTATTAAAGTCTTAGAAAATTTCAAAACCAGTATTATAAGATTAAAAGATGGATTCAATCATGAATAATAAAGTACTCAAAATGAATTGATGTGAAGTGCATTTCAGACTACATCAATTATTTTGAACAGAATTGGCAAGGTCTGATTATTTATGCGTGGGCCCGGTGGGATCTTACTCTAAGGGATCGTTTTGACAGCTACTGCTTGGCCCCTGCTGGCAATATAACTGTAAGGTTCACTCACTCATGCACTCATTTTTGTCAGTGCGTTCGTTTGCTCATTTGTAAACGGCTTCATCGCTATCTCTTGCGATGTCATCGCCCTAATTACGTTTATTTGTTTCCCGACCTGTCGACGTTGTCCTTTCTATACCCCAGCTACCGAAAGGAAAGTCGCTTTGGGTGTCGACGGGTCGAGGGCCAGAGGCCAGAGGTCGGGAGCAGTCGTTGCTTGTTTTCTTCCATCTGCTAAGACGAAGAAGGAAGTCTCGAACTCACCGTGCCAGTAAGATAACGCTGATAAAGTAATGTTTGTGAAATGAAAAAGTGATAATGTTTGCTTTCTGGGTAACTAGTTAAAAAGCCGAAGAAAATTTAAGTAATAACGTGTTTCTAGTTCTATTGTTAACTAATTAGTTCATTTCAAAAAAATAGGTCCCTGATATTTGACTTAATTCCATTTACTAAGTGTGAACGAATTATATTTTAAGATTTGACAACTTATTCGAAACCTTGATGATAAATAATAATTTGATACATTTTAGTGATAGATTCTTTAAGTTGGTACTAAAACAATGATGGGCGCTTAAAAGTGATTTTCACTTCTTTAAATCAGAGTTTGAGCATTAGGGTTGCGACCGCTTCTGCGAGTGGGGGCTGGGGAAGTGGCGGGCCGCGCCAGTCTGCATCGCGCTGAGTGGCCTGGCCGCGAGGCGGCTGCTGCCAATGCCATTTCCTTGAAAGAGGCGCGAGGGGCGGTAGCGGGAGCCTTGTCGAAAATGTGAAACGAGAAGAAGCGCTACGTAGTTTCTTCTCCTCCTGTTAAGGGCGCACAATGGAGTTACGTAGTTAATAAACTATTTATTCAAATATGAGTGTGAGTGTGTGTATAGGCATATGTACTTCATTGACAAGGCGACTAAATAATAAAAAATTGTTTTTGGTCTTGGATTAGAGCCAACAGAATAAGTAAAAGCTCTGATTTGAGGTAAAAGCACTGTGAGTAAATTTTGATGCTGGAAGTGAAAAAACGGTTTTCTTATTTGGCAGAGATGAGATCTTTTTCTTTCTAGTTTGTGACGTGCCCATATTATTATGTGGATATCTACACACTAGTCATTCACAGTTCGTTTTATGCGACTGAAAATTTATTGTCAACTAAAACTGATGTTACCCCTGTAGGAATCTGGGAATGCATGTATGTGTACATTACATTTTTTGTGTGTAGTCTGGCTAAATTGGTGACTTATACGAAGTGGTCAATGGGCATTAATTTTCTCCTACATCATTCTTAAATTCGGGTCATCTTCCTCAACCAATGAGACCCTCCCTGAGATGGGAGTATTTCAGAGAAGACTAGTAACGAAATTTCTAAGCCTAATATTCCAACCTTCCAAGCAAACATTCCAATCAACCCTCTATCCCATGTCCAACCGTTCTTCCACCTGTACTTTCTCCCATTCCAGACGAATTTTAGAAAGTATTAATTTTGTCGTTACACAAATTTTTGTAGAGAATTACAAGAATGTATTAGTAATAATGAGATAATTTGTACTCTAATGTAGTCGCCATGATGGAAGCGATTATATACATTGCCCTCGTGTCTTGAAGAATACTACGTTACACCGACTGTTGACTGCGTGCAACGGCCACACAAACAGCAACAATGAGCATTTCTCTTTTGTTAAATGGTTATGAACAGTGCAATTAATCTTAAAAAGTAGAAAATTTTAAGTATATTTCCCAGTCACAGCAAACGTTTCTAAAAATTACAAAAAACAATTGAAGTATATGTAATCCTTTTTACAGGTCTGGTTGCTACACTATTACCACTCATCAAAGACCAGGCAAGATTATACTGGCCTGAGCAAACAATGCCAACTTAAAAAATGCACCTGAATAATAATCAACTCACCTAACAAAGATGAGCAGTGAGATATATGGCATCGAGGCGGCCAAGCCATTTGTCCGGAAATTGTTTTCATTGGGGAAGACAAAGCTTGTGGACTTATACCCGGTGAACTAGGAGACCCAACACTTGCTTCACTATCTTCACTTGGACTTGATGCACCATTGATATTGAGAGATCCACCATTCTTTGGAGATCCACTAGCTTCAAACAACGCTGAACGAATGGCAGACACCGAATTGAGGGACGAATCAAAATCAAATCGTGCAGAATCGTGGCGACGCCTCACAGGAGCAGGGCTAGAAGTTAGAGGGAGCCCCGTGCGGCAATGAAATACCATACACGCAGCTGAACGGAGAGAGCGTCGAAACAGGGCAGTTTCTTGAGCGGAAGGTACTGAAACTGCTTGAGCTGCTGAAGCGGATGTTACATGCGATAACTGCAATAGAAAAAATGCGTTGTAAACGAACAAAACTATTCACATAGGATCGATATTCGAATGTTCCCCAAACAATGTGTAATTACGGAATGTTTACTTGCATGAAAATTGGTGTATATAAGTATTTACATAACATAGTATTTTATTATATTTTAATCACACGCAATAACCTGTCTTAAATAGTCTTGTCTTTCTCGAAAAAAAATCCCTGCCCCATGCAAAATATTAATCTTAAGAACTTTTTCCTTCGTTGTGAAAATGTACCTTTTCTCAGAGTACCGTGCATGTACGGGTCCGTTTTAAAATTACGAAAAAAGTTATAAATATAAGTTTTATTGCACATCTTATTAACTCGTTTTAACACATTTTTATTAGAATTCACAAGAAATTCATTAAGATTTAGAATTATTGATGAATAAAAATCCCTTTTTTCATAATTCAAAAATATTTCCATAGTTCAAAAGTATAATGTTTGTGGGTGTATGTGTTCTTATGTAAGAAAATTAAAAGTACTAAACGAAAACACGAAAGGATCCGAAACTGCCATAATAGTTTAAAACTAAAAGTTAATAATTTAGCATGTCACGATGAGGTAGTGTTTGAGAAATATATAATCTTGTTTCTCGTTACAAGTTAATGACAATAGGATAATGAAAGGAATAATTCAGAAAAATGAAATAAAAAGTTCCACCATTATCTTGAAAATATCTACTATAAATCTAAGCAACACAGACCTATAATAATTAGACTAACCTCAGGACTTCTCACAGGAGCTTTCCCAGCAACATGTTCTGGTATTTGAAGAGTTTGTAGCTGAGGAGGTGAGGAACATCTTCCTCGAAGTTGCCCTAATCGGCGATGCAAAAGTGGCACAGAAGAACTAGATGATTTTTTTGGCATTTCCCTCACACTCCCACTTTCACAGTTCTTTAGTTTTTCATCACAACACACTTTAGTCCGATCTTTTGTCACTCTTTCATCAGGATCACAACCTTTCAGGGCAGTGGACAATATTTTGGTTGGACATCGTGCACGTAGAATAGCATCAAGTAAAAGATCTGCCTTGTGGGAGGTTTTTGAGGTAGATGTGGACGGTTTGCAATGGTAGACTTCAGTAGCTGACTCTTGAGGCAATGATGTGGAAGGCAACATATGATGTTTGCATATCTGCGAGTTGGCATCTTGTTCTTTCGTCGCAGAATTAGAGAACATTGAGTTTTTACTACAGTGATTGGAAGAGCGGGAGCTGAGATTGCGGTCCCTGAAACAAAATGGATGACATACATATTTTTCTTTTATCTTTTTACCTTTTCTCTCTCTTATATTTTGCCCTGTGTTCTCCCTGTCCATATCTTAAGATTTTTCTTTGTCTCTTCAATTCTTTCTCTACTAGTCCTTTATTTTTTTCTTTCCTCCATTTCCCCTTAGAAAGTTTTTATTCTCCCTTCGTTCTCTCGTATTTAATCCATACTTGACTCTATATTATCAACGTATTAGAAGTATATTATCAGTAATTTCGAGAAGCAATTTTAGGAGTAGGCGTACTCGTATATCAAATAAATTCAGTTACGAAATACGTACCTGAGTACTGCTAACACCTCTTCCACCTCGCTTTGACTCAATTCCAAGCTCAACTTTCTGTTAGAACTTCCACCGCTAGTAACTCCAGGCTTCGGAGAATGCACTGTGGAGTTTGATCCAACATTCATCGATGTATTTGGAGGTCTGATGTTGGACACAGGTGTAATGCTTGTTGATGATCCGGCAACACCATTACCTGAGCTCGAGCTACAATCTGTAGTATCATCTTCGTAGGCACAGCGACAGTGATGTTTGCCAGGACGTGTGCAAGGATTTAGCATACGATCATCCAACAAGTCACCCGAGTTTATTCCCATTCCTAATAAAGAAACATGCGGAAATTATCATTTTCGGATCAATAACATTCAATCAGCAATTCATAATTTTATTAATTTCTTTGTCGACTTGGACATTTATATTCTATTTCTTCATTTACGCACTTATTTAAAAACGATAAAAACATAAAATTGCATGCATAACTACAGCGCAATTGATCTCATCTGCAACACAAAACATTAACCTGTTATTTAACAAACTATTAAAATATTTATTCGAGAGAGAAATATATTGAGTCCCAAGATCTCATTCGCGTGAAAGTGAATAATGCTCCGATTAATTCCCAGAATTATTTGATCTTTTATTTCATTGTGAAATTTCAAATTTTCATTTTGAATTCAATTTTTGCATGTGATTTCAAGGAATAATTTCAAATGCATAGCAGAAATGAATGAAATTTTTAAATGTAAATAAAAAAACGGAAGTGAATGTTTTTGGCAGCTTTTGGATGGAGTAACAAAGAGGAAAAACGTTAAAACGTTGTAAAATTTCATTTAATTCTTCGGCAATTTCAGCATCAACCATTACACCTCCCCACATTTCATCCTGCACGGGAAGACCGAAGTACTTGATAAGTGAGAACGGACTTTTGTCTATGTCCGATGGCTGCGGGCGAAGGTACAGTTTCCACGAGCCTGGCCCACCCATTCAAAGAAATGCTCCGAATAACGCTAGCGCAAGGCCAGGCCTCACCTGGGCGGAGGGCGCGCGAGGAGAGGGAGCTGCCGGAGCTGGCGTCCCGCCGCCGAGCCATGCCCTGGCGGCCGCGCCGGCGCTGCGGGAGGCTGCTGCTGGGAGGGCTCGGGGGCGACGCGTCCCGCCAGCGCGTGCTGGTGCGTCCTGCGACCACACACGCACGCGCACGTAGGACAAGCACCACACGCCTTCGCGTGGACGGCAATGCAATATTAAGAGAGATCTCACTTAATATTACAATCTCAAGATAGAACTAGGTGTCACTTTGCTTCTTACTTGAATGAAAATTAACAACCCAATAATGTTCTTCATTTTGTTTCATTTTAAAAGTTCCTTCTGATGTCATTTTTGAGATTCGTAAGGAACCTGAAAAAGACCTCTGTGGAACCCTAGAGAACGGGAATCACTGTCATTAGAACATTTTCGACTAAATGTGAAAAGCGCCTGACTCACTGTGAATGATCTCAGTTTGAGAACGATAGTTGGAAAGTTCTAAACCCATTGCGTAAAAGTTTGAATCAACTAAGTGTAGGAAGTGAGGGAGGCGAGGAGCGGAGACGGCCTTACCGTGAGCTGAGGCAACGGTGCGAGGCAGGATGGCCGAAGGCGGGCTGCTGGTCCGAGGCGCGCGGCCGCGCAGCAGCTGCAGCGAGTGGGGCGGGTCGAGGAGGCTGTCTCCCAGCAGCGGCTCGCCCGCGCACTCGTCCACGCGCGCCGCCCCGCCGCTGCCTCTGCAAGCGCCACACGCTCCTTGCTAACACCTTACTTTGTCATCCTTGAACATGCGCATCACATGTTCTAAAGTTCATCTGCTAAAGATTTCTTTTCGTCTAATCTCGATATTAGTAGTTATCATGTATAGAGTAACATTAACATTTCGTGCGGCTGTAGCTATTAGAAGGCCTGGTCCGAATAGGTAACGGGATTTGATCTATTAAAAATCTTTTATTGAAATATGCTACGACCTACAGAACGAGCCCTATAGAACTCTGCTAAACGCGGAGAAAGGCAGGAGGGAGCAAGAAGGACGCGATGAACTGTCCTTTGACACGATCCTCCCAAATTCGCCCTTCGTTGAACTGTTTCAAAACTTACATTTTAATTCTTCCAATTGAACTCTACGGCGCTCGCGTCCTATCCTTTCATGTGCAGACCTCTTGTATGTGCAATATGGTTGCCCGCTTTCACTTCTCTCAAGGTGTTGATTTTTACATTTTCCAGTAGTGTATTTTGCGAAGCGCGAAAACCAGAACAAATTAAACCTCAATCATCATGCTTATAATGGAACAATAAATTCATCGAAGGGAATCTACAGGGGGATACGAAATTAATATGCGCTGAAGCACACATTATCATGACTAAACTTTGCGTCGCGCTCTTTATAACCTTCTGATTTTAGATGAAGGTCAAAACGAATCTAGAGATGCTTTGTTTAAAACTCAAATTCAAATGCAATACCGTTCATGCATCTATCACAAATAGTTTCAATGTCATTACTTTTTCGCAATTACCACTTTTTTGTGTAACAAATTAAGCGTGGAACCAGTTTCAGTGGAAAAGACATTCTGCTAGAAAACGTCTGATGGGATGCTGAAATATAATATACTGAGCTGAAAACAAAATGTCAATATCTTTATTTTCAAATATCTCAAGAATTGTGTTCTTTTACGTAAAATTTAGATAAATTTACATTCCAGGAAAAAGTTAGTCACTTACGGATTAGCTGCAGGAAGTGCTGTGAGCATCTGTTTCCCTGGGATTGTCGGAGTAAGCTCTGCAGTGCTGCCATTGGCATGAAGAGGGCAGTGAAGAATTGGAGGTGCGTCCATTCTAGGAAGCATCTTCACGCTCACCTGCAAACAGTGTTCCGCATGAAAACGAGCACGGCGAATAGAGGAACCCCCTCGCGGCCAAGCGTCAGCATTGCGTTTCACCAGAGGTGTCAAAGGGAGCCTTCTCGTAGCCACGCTATGCCATCGGCAGGCAGTGAAAATCCCAAGGTCTGGTTCCTTGGGAGAGTAAATAGAGTCGGCGGACCCTTGTCGTAAAGTTGTGGCATGTATAAGAACCATACAACGACTATACTATTATCAGAAATATTCAACGGCCACTTCCATCACCGCGAATTTAAAACCAAGGGCCTAGGTGAAGAATAAACCAGAAGGCCGGAGCCCCGTCACTTGAAATGAAGACAAATGCCATTCGATCAAATTCAACTTGTCCTAATAATTGAGATCATCAATAGCTAAGCACTGATAAGCAAAATTCCTCATAGACATCAGTTTTCACGGGAAGTGTAGGTTATAGCAAGCAAAGGCTACGCTAATTTAGCAACGTTGACACCACTGCCTTACACAATGAACGAATGAATGTATATTTGAAGAGGCGGATCTACAATGCAATTTATGGCATTAAGCGCTTTCCTAACGAAAGAAGTTCGCTCTCATTCATTTCGAAAAAAATCGGAAGCATTTTTAGAGCAGACACGTTCTTTATGATAGCATATACACATTTCCTCGAAGTACTGCAGATTATTGCAAACTCATTATCATTATTTTCCCACAAAAAGAATGCATCGAATAATCGAACATGTAAAATACTCCAAACGTTTGTACCTTTTATAAATGCACTAACGGTAATGATTTACACAAAGATCTCATTTTCAGGTGAATCCATGTTTTCTAAACACAGTTTCTAGATACTTTTGTAAATAAGGGACTAAGGAAAGATATTGTACGTGGAATGTCATCTAATGTGACACGTGCGACAGCGATGTTTCCAGAAAACATGGTTAAAATATACAATTACAATCTATTTTTTTAAAACATTCAAGAATTCTTGTCCTTCAAGCAACAAAATTGTAGATCCGTCATTGTGGTATCAGATTTGGTTCACATTGAGCAACAGGACATTGGAATTGGAGATGAGTGGCACGACAGAGTAAGTTACTTCACAGATTTGGCTACTTTGAAGAGATAAATATTTAGACAAGTAGCGTATTTCGTTTTTTTGATATAGAATTACCGTCTGAGCGGACAATGAGAAGAGACGGAACGGAACACATTAACTGAAACTGGACACATGATTTATAGATAATATCTATATTCGAAGATGCAGCATATATTTATTTAGATGCGATTAAGATTTGATCTCAAAACGATTACTACATCTATGAAATTTTGCTTACCCCAAAACCAGGATGGCAGTCGCATCTAACACAGAAAGTGTTGATGGTATAGCTGCTAGAACATACAACGAAAAGGGCGTTGGTGGTGTGCTTTGTAAAGGGAAATGTCGTGCTCGGAGAGGATGGACTTGGTTCCAGGATATGTGCTGTTACATAACGAATAAGAGTTTGGTGATACCTGAAAATGCAGGATAGGCAGTACAAGACGGCAGTCGGTCCATTCCAGTAGAAGACTGGTGTTGAACTGTTCAAGGCGTAATGAAAGTGACCTGGGATATTGCAACCAGGACCCAAGTCAGATGGTCCAATTGGCCCGCCCCCCGCACCCGGGCCAGAGGCCGCAACAAAGACGAAGCAAGTTCGGCCTCATAATGAGTGATTGTGTCCTGTGCGCGAAGCTGGAAGCTCAGTGAAAGGGTGAACTCGTTCACAAGTTGGCTGTCCGCTGAAGGCATTCGCTCAAACGAGCTGAGTGCCAAGGGGTACGGGAAGTATGAGCTGGATGTTGAAGCATTTCTCGATTGCAGCTTAGTCTACTCCTAGACAATAAGAAGGTATCACGTTAACTGGATTGTCAAGCATGCAGTGAACTCATTGCCTTTGGGGAAGTTTTCAGAAACAGAATATTTTCTCACGTTACTACCTGTATCTAAAGAAGATCAAAATATCGAGAAAACGTAAACAAACTTATCGATAGACTACGTAGACAAAGAAACCAACGAGGTAGAGAGAAAATGATAAAAAGTAGAAGAGTGTGGAATAACAAATGAAATAAGGATGAAGAAACTAATAGAATGAGAAAGCGACAATGTAATAAAAACGAAGGCAAGGTTAAAGCGAGAAGGAAGGAAAACGAATCGATACCGAAAATACATGAAAAACTAGAACGGATAGGTAAAACAAGAAGATAAAAAGGAAATAAAAATGGCTGGAAGAATATATAACGAAGAAAAAGAAACACAGACAGGCAACAAAAGGACTACTAAAGGAATGCCGACGATAGAATAAACGAAAGAGCGAGTGTGGGGGGGGGAGGTACTGCGGTGTCGGGAGCGAGGCGTAGGGCGGTGGGGGCGGGGCTCACCTGCAAGTAGGGCCGCCCGGAGCGAGCGGCGCGGGGGGGGAAGGCGTGCTCGAGCGGCGGGCCGAGAAGCGCGACGCGGCGAAGGCGCCAGGCGCGTCGCTCAGGGCCGGCAGCGCCAAGCGGTAGCACACGTGGCGCGGCCGCGCGCCGCCCGACGCGCTCAGCCACGCCGCCAGCTGCGAGAAGTGCAGCTGGGAGCGCAACCGCACTCAGCAGCGACGCGCACAGACATCTCGCCGCGCGCGGCCGCCGCCGCGCCCCGCCCCGGGCTCGACCCGGGCCAGGCCCGCGCCGGCCCGCGCCCGGGCCCCGCCCCGCGCCGCGCACCGGCGCCCGCGGCCCCCCCCGCGCTTGCCGCCACGCTGCCCGCCGCCGCGCACGCAGGCGAGGACGACGCCTGTGGACGCCGCCGACGCCGACGGCCCGCACGCAGACGCTCCGGCGGCCGACGACGGTGCGCCGTCCCTACGACCGAGACGCCCCGCTTTAGCGCACGTCTCTCCACTCCCCTTCACTCCCCTTCACTCCACTTCACTCCACACATGAATCTGCACGATTCGTTTATGCAGGCGCGGATCCACGGGGAGGGAAATGAGGGAAAGTTCTCCCCTAAATTGTGCAGAAACTATTAATTTTGAATTTTCACAAGAGTTTCAAGAAAAATATGTTTGGATTATCATTAAAACGAATAAAATCGTATCGCAGCATGAGCTGAATGTAGCCTGTGACATTTTATAAAATCTGTAATATGACTTGTGACGAAAATTTTTTGAATTCCCCCTCTCAAAATTCGTCTCTGGATCCGCCCCTGTTAATATCACCTTGTTTAGGAAACTTACGGGACAGACCTTCCCCGTTAGACTCACAAGATGGTGGCACAATTTATGCAGCAAATAGAATAGCCTATTGCATTATGCAAAAACATAAGAAAATTCACTATTTATAAATTGACCTCCAAACCGGGTCACTTTGATGACGGGCCCTTTTTTCATACGTCATACACTGAGAGCTGTTCTGCTATTTACGCGGCGTGTTTCCGAGCTGGTCAAGTTGGAGATTTAATGGGACAAATATTTAACTTCCTGATTTGCTGTAAAACATTCCCATGAGCAGTTTCTGCGTAGGAAGGGCTCTCTCTTGTCAATTTCAGAAGAAGTTAAACCTCTGAAAAACACGAAAACGTGTCGAAAGTAGTAGACGAAGGCAAAGAATAGCACTATGTCGAGGCAGAGCTTTGTACAATGATGTACGCAGTTCTGCTGACCTGTATCCAAACCAAAATTGCTACAACACTCAGAAGAAACAATTGTACGCGTTCTAGCAAGCCAAATCGCCAATGCAACGATAGTTGTTTGTTGTGAAGTTAATTTGAAAGCCAACAGGACTTCTCGAAAGCAAAACTGCAAATACGAAGTTTCTTTTGAACTTGTTTTATTTTGTGATTTCGGACATCCACATGAAAACTTTTGTACAAAAAATTTTATCAATGTACAAAGAGGAAATCTACAGAAGAAAAAAATTACTAAACCTGAAATGTATAATAATACTTTCCTGAAATGTATAATAATACTCGTATTTAAGATACCAGGGTCAAGACAGTTGCATTATGATAGCTCTATTTGCAAATCGAAAAAGGCATTGTAGAAAATGAAAAACGTATAGTGTTGAAATTATTTTTGAAAAAATAACATTGTGTAACAATCTTTATTAGATTTTAATGACCTCTGACAGCAACAGTCGGACCGAAACCCCCAGGCTGTTTCCCCTGTCGACCTGGGTCATTAACATTCATATAACTAAGATAATACATTTCTAAGGAAAGAATTGATTCCAAAAATATCGTTCGTTCGGCAGAGGGGAGTTTTTAGAAACCAACCGAGCTTCTCCTTCATAATATTGAAAGTGAACTTTCTCTGTGAAACATTACTAATCAGCCATATTCCACTCCTACACAGTCATTACTCATCAGCTTTGGCCAAAGGTATTGAGATTTTTATTTAATTATTAATTATATTTAATATTTTAATAAACAGACGTAAGCCCATTACAAAATACAATTTTACAAAAATTGTTTCACACATACTGTTTTGCAATCGAGAAAACCTGTTTGCCTTTATTTTAGTTATGTATATTATCGTAATTCATTATGTCAAACCAAGATACCATTCATCCCATAATGTACACCAATTTGTTGTTATATCTTCAGGTACCGAGAAAAGAACGTAGACCGTTGCGAGCAGAAATCTAAATGATATGTAGCGAATACGCGTGTCCTTATACCTCTCGCAATGTTCATTGAGAAATTGTTGCGATATTGGAAAATACCACACAGGAGACTATTAGAATACGTTCTGTTCATTTAAACCAGTGGAGAATTTAATAGAATAAGCTGCATAATTCAACTGAAGAGCATCGGCTTCGCGTTTCATTTTGTTCTTAAGAGAACTTGTACTAATCACATGCGTTCACTCTTCCATAAAGTAAATTATTTTCCAAAAACATTGGTTATGTGATTCTTTGCCCCAGATCACTGCGTATATTTACACATAAATAGGGAAGCGTAACCTTATCAGCACCATTTG